AAAAAAAAAAAAAAAAAAAAAACTCTAGGTTGAGAACTCATAACTTGCTTGGAATCCTAGATCAGCCCCTGTTTAGCGGCGATGTATAGTCAACTCTACTTTGTACTGAATCCATTTATAGCAACTTATCTCTTTATTAGATTTCGATATGAACAAAAATATATTTCATAATATCCCCCTTGAAAACAATGTATATGCTTAAGGGAAAAGAAATATATACAGCTAGAATGATATTTTCCTATACAACCAAAGATTTTGAAATCCTACTTTGGATTTGAGAAAAGTGAAATCTTTTTTTTGAGAATATATCCTCATAGACATGCTGTTGAAATCAAGTCCACAATATATATACACCGACAAGGAGGGCGAGGAGGTACCACAGAATTTGGAAGCTTCTTGTCGTTTGGTTGATACATGACTAACTTTGGTTCAAATTCCTCTTTTGGAATAAAGCAGATCACATGATCAAGAAAGGAATTTAGTACTCTGTCATATTTATCAACAAGTGATCTTAATATTGTCGTCCTATATTCTCACTAAGAAAAAACCTCCCTTACTGCCTCGAGAGGTCGCATATTATTATCGGATTCTATTTTTACAAGGGCCAACATTTTGGTCCCTAGCTTATATAACAACAACAGGGGAATAATCCCGAAAAATAATATTCACGATATTAGTGATAAACGCGGACCATTAAGTTATGGTTGAATCAGCAAGAATAAAAATGCAGCAAAAGGACACCAAGATTTTACATGGAAACTCTTCTGAATAAGGGAAAAAATCACGGCCAAAAAGAGCAACTGATATCACTGTCGACGCCCACTTTTTCTACGGGTCGAAATCGGATATACAACATTGGGAGGACAACTCTATTCCCTTTCGAGAATTGGGTTTTGGAATTTTGAAGAGTCGCCACCTAATGATTATAGAGCATTAGGACACTTTGAGAAGGGTTTGAGTTGGAAAACCAGAGTTCGGGTAAGGGCTAGAAATTATCTCGAGGGGAAGGTGTTAGGCACCCCTCAAGATCCACTAGTGTGGTCCCGACCATGTTACAATTGTGACTCTACAAGTAAACAATCAAGGCTCAAATAAGGACTTGCATACAATATTGCAATACTTTTGAAGGTAAGTAGAGAGGACAGAAATTTATGGAAAAAAAAGATTTGAATGGTTTCACTAGAAGAGATGAAAGCAAATAAGGGGAGAGGGGTCCTAGGTTTACGAATAATATGGATCACATCAATGCAATATCTAGCAATCACTCCTCAGAAGAGGGGTCACACGTGATATTAACGCACCAGTCATCATATCCATATCGACCCTTCCCATCCCGTTAAGGTATTAAAGCGCGGAATAGTATCGTTACTTATTGCATGCTATTACCCGTCCCAATCCTATCAGTCCCGGAGGCATATGAGACTACTAATCCTAAAGGGGAGGGAGCTGGGGCTTTTGCAGTTTTTTTAAAAAAGGATAAAATTCTAAGGCGACATTCAAAACATATACAGCAAAATTGGGAAAGCAAGTAAGCAGATATGGCTCAAACAAACCTCCTTAAATCAGAGAAAATCATATAGTTTAGCATGTCTTACACGTACTGATTAGGTCTGAATTAAACTTAAACATTAAGGCAGGCTGATTTATCACATATTTTCAGATAAGAAGTCCGAATTAGGCCTGCCTGCTGGTTGTAATTATCAAAAACTGATGCAATTATAGTTTTTACCCTAAAGTTTGTCTAGGTGTTAAATGAAACCTATAGGTATGATATCTATTAGTTTCAGAAATAAAAAAGTAAAATGATTGCAGAAAAAAGAATTGTAAATTACAGGGACATAAGATCTGCAGGCGTTAAACATTATTGCTACTGATTTTAGGCTTATGAGCGAGTTGACGATTCAGGTTTGGTTGACAGCTCCTATAAGCATGCTTTCTAGGCGTTACTGATATTAAGCGTTGTTATTGTTATGCAGAAATCCTATAGGCAGGTCATCTATATGCATNAACAATGTCAAGGGTTGTCATATTTTCTGAACCATAACTCAGCAGACAAAGGGTTCAGGGATGGAGATTCATATAGGAGCAGGAATAACAGGCTTGCAGAAAGCAGTAAAAATAAACAAAGAAAAGATTGAAGCATAAACACATAAGAGAGGGGGCAGAATTTAAACAAAAAGAGACTTACCAGTTGCAAAAAAGTAAGCACAAAGAAAAGCAAGGTACTTGCAGCCAAAACACAATCAGAGAAGAGAGCTTATGTGTTCATAGAAAACTCGAATGTTTTTTTAGAAAACCTAAGTGTATTTGAGCGAAGAAGTGGTGACTTATGCTGTGTGTTGAACTTGTTTTTTGAAAGAGAAGAGGTACATGTATTTATAGTTTTGAGAACGAGTAGAGAATAAGGTAACAAATAAGGTTTCAACACAAACATGAAAATAAACACAGTCAGAATCAATTAACACAGGTATTCCCCTTTAATCAAGGGATTATTACTCAAACGGACACTAATAGGATTAATATAAGGAAAGAAGATCAATTTGTAGGCAGAATGATTGTTACCATAAAAGGAGCAGTAAAACCATATAGTAAGGGATTAAGTCTAAATACAGGAATGTACTTATTTTGGAAAGGATCTGGTAAGGCCAAACAAAGAGAGAGAATCAATTAACCCTTAACGGGCGAGTAAAAAATCAGAATTTCATAAGGAAAAGTTTTGAAAATCAATCACGAGTTTGAAAATCAATCACAGAAGGGACTCAGTATATAAATGAAGTGCACAAGTAATAAGCATGTGAGGCCAAGCTATGGCGAGAAGGAACAACATACAGTAATAGCATAGAGCAAGCATTCATAGCATGATAGTCACGTAGGTCAGGTTTCAGTGATTTAGTAGTAGAGGAAAAGATCAAAAACATGCGAAGAATCAAGTAAAAACCTTTCTGAAAACACAGTCGAGTTTGACAAATAGTCGGAACTCAGAACAAAAAGGAATCACATAAGGAAGAGAGATGCTGAAACAAAAAGAATCAGGCTGAGCAACTTCAGACAGACGAATTGCACGAATAAACTCAAGGGACTCGAATAGACCCCAAAGAACTAGGTTTTTGAAAATTAGTCGAGTTTAGAGGCAATAAACATGTGAAACAAACAAGCGAATTCAGAATCTCAAATAAACCCCCAAAATTAGGGTTTTCAACGCTAATCAGGTGTAAACAAGGTAAATCAAACTAATACAAACAAACAGACTAAGAAACTCAAACAAAATTCCAAAAATTAGGGTTTTCAACATGCTAACTCAAATATAAAAACAACACAAGCAAAACACAGCAAGACATGTCGAGAATCAGAGAAGAGATTCGAAATAACTTAACATGAAACCCTAGTTGAAGAATAAAGAGTTTTGAAAGCAAAATTAAAGAAACTTCGAGAAAAAATGCTTAGAAAGTTCAAAACACACATAGATCCGGAGCAGATCTAAAATAAAATCGGAGGAACCTTAGAGATTAGGGTTTCGTAAGAAACCCAGGTGATGAGGAAGGCTTTGAAAACCATCGATTTAAGTAGGAAAGTCGAAGGTCGAACTCGGATAACCATGACTGTTGAAGACGACCGGAGAACAGTCATCAAGCAAAGTCTTGGTCGAAATCTTTCAAGATCTGGTCATTGGACCTCAGAAACGAGCATGTAGAAGCCATGAGAGGCTAATATAGGCCTCCGATGAGCCTGGGAAGCCATGGATTAGGTGTTTCAATGAGAGGCGACGGCTAGGATTTGAGGTGAGTTGAGAGAGAGTTGAGAGAAAGAAGGGATTCAAAGGCGGCGTCTCTGAAAGAATGAGGTAGGGTTTAGGGTAGTTTGGATTAAAAAAGGTAAGAAGCAACGGTGGCCGTTGATCTAAATGATCAACGGCCGGGATTAAAAGTGGTTTTGGGCTGGGTCGGTTGAATAGGTGCTGGGTCGGGTTAGAGTGGTAATTGGGTTGGGTAATTTGGGCTCAATTTTGGGGTTGAGTTGGGTTAAATTGGGGTGCTAGATTGGCTAAAATTGAAATACAATTGAGGCTAGATTGTAAATAGCCACTTTTCCCATTTTGTTTTATAAAAATAGCAATAACGATTTTAAGAACAAATTAAAAGTACTGGATAAACAAATATTATATAAATATTAATTTAAAAATGCTGGGATTAATTTTATAATTATAAAATGCTATCATTTACAAAATAGACTATAATTGCAAGCAATTTAGCTTTAAAAATGCCAAATGAATTTGTACAAATGTGCAAAAATCACTTTAATTATATTTTGGTGTAAATATGAGGATAAAATAAGTTATTCA